TTTTCCCCTTCACACTTTAGAGACATTTATTCCTTCCTGTCCTGCGGCCTGTGACCAGTTGTTTCTGGCCAAACATTGCACACCTTCCCTAAGCCTCTGAGGGGACTTGTGTTGCTGATCTAGAGCCGTGGCCTGCCTCTGCTTTCTGCCCCTCCTCTACATATTACTTCCTCTCCTTAGCATCCTTTGGAACATACATGAAGGTACTCTCAAAATTGCAAAAACACCAGATAGGTACAAGGCATAATTCTTATTACTGTGATGACTTTCAATCTGCCTGGATCCCTAACAATAGACATTTGAGAGGTTAGATATGGATCCGTGGAAATAAAATCGAGAGATGGACAAGGAGAGCCTGCAACTTATTAAATTAGAAAGTAACAAAAATTGAAATACAAATCGCACCCTCTTCAACCTGTCACCATTGACCAAGTTTTACTATATGAAAGATACTGTGCTAGGCAGTAGGAACTGAAGTGGAAAGAGAAAGAGAGTTCCACATCCAGTGAACAGACTTTTCAAGTAGACCCTTTGGTGGCTGGAGCTGTTTCAGTAGCCCTCATTCGGCTCAGTCCATACCCACACTGCCCCCTGGGGGCGCTAATGACCAGAGAAGCATTCTAACAGCAGGCATTTCCTCAGGCCCTCTTGGGGTCTGGGGGCCAAGGTCATTGGCAGACTTGTGGGCTTTACTTTTACAGAACTTTTCACAGCGAAACCAGGAGAACATGTTGTTTATGCCTGTTGGCCAAATGGCTAATTAGCATCATTGTGTGCCCTAGACTAGAAAATGCCCTGCTGTGAGCTTGTTGAGACTCAGCTTTGTCCGTAATTAATATCAGAGAGCACAGGGAATGCATGTCCCAGAGGCAGCATAACACTGGAAAACTGTCTTTTGCCCCACGGGTTGCCTTTGTGTCCCACTAACTTTCTAGAAATCCACTTTTGTGAGATCAGGACTTTAATTTGATGAGAGAAAGAGAAAAGAGAAGAAGAATGGGTCCAGTTATCACCAAGGCAACTCCGGCCCCGCTGTTTCCAAGGTTCATCTTGCTGGGCCAAGTAGAGTTTGCGCTCAGATTTGACCTTACCCCTTGTCATCCTGATTTTCGCCCAGATTTTCTTTCATCAGTGCTCTCCCTCTGGCATTTCTTTCACCCTCACGGCTTAGCTCCTTCTTTCCTCCTCCCAGAAAGGCAAGACTGAGGAAATAGAGTATTTCTCCTCAGTGGCCACTGCGGTTGGTTGAAACAGTGAGGCTTGCTCCGAAGGGAGGTCATGGTGCAGAGGGTCCCCGCAGAGAAGCCTACGTCTCACTCCCTCGCCTTCCGGCAGGGGTGCAGGCTGCAGCGGGAGCCGGGCAGCTCGGTACACAGGACACAGAGGACCTGGTCTGTCTGAGGGCTGCTGCTCAGCCCCCAGAGCAGACCCGGAGGGGGGCACTCACAGTCACACCTCCAGCGCAAGGAGAAGTGATTGCTTGCTTGCTGGAGGCTGATTTTAAAGTTCTCTGCTCAAACACTTCACAGCTAAGCAAACTGTCAGCTAGTCCCCTAAAAGCTGAGCCTAAGAAGATAGAAGATGAGGATTAAAACCACATATATTAATTGTCCTTTAAATTAATCAAAAGGTGGGCACCTGGGTGGCTCATTTGGTTAGGTGGCTGCCTTCGGCTCAGGTCGTGATCCCGGGGTCCTAGGATCGAGTCCCGCATCAGGCTCCCTGCTCCGTGGGGAGCCTGCTTCTCCCTCTCCCTCTGCCTGCCGCTCCCCCTGCCTGTGCTCGCTCGCTCTCTCTGTCAAATAAATACATAAAATCTTCAAAAAAAATTTTAAAAATAAATTAATCAAAAGGTGACTTTTTCCATAAGTTTGGTAACATGACAGAAGATGGGGGGTGTGGGGGGATGGATTCCAAGACAGCTTTCTACTCACTCGTTCACCCACCATCTCCCTCCACCCTCCTCCCTCTGGTGCAGCAGATTCCTAGTGCCTCTCAGCAGTTCTTAGACCCTTGCAGGTTCTGATTCTACCCCAGATAGCCATATCAAGTTATTTTGGGGGGGACCAATTAAGATCACAGTTTTAAGCCAGTTCAAGTGTGTCTCTTTCTCTGCTATAATCAAGTGGCACGTTGATCCTAATTCTTGTAATTAGACCATAAATATGTTATTTTATCCACTGCTTCAGGGTTCTAAGAAGGGCTTGGCTTTTTACTATCTGGAAGACAAAGGCTAATGTTCAGACTCTGTGGCTTACTCCTCAGCAGACCGTGGCTCTCCTAGCCACCCCCCACCTCCACCCTGTAGTAAATGCTTGTTATTCACATCCAGAGACCCTACACTTTTCACATTCTGGCTTCTTGGTGCTGTTGGAATTGTTGGACGTTATCACAGTGAAGGGCAATTAACCCAGCCTTCAGTTCAGGTTTTGGTGGGGAGCTGAAGGGAACCCTGAGGGCTGAATGCCTTTCTGTTTGCACAGAACTGCAGTAGGCGTGTAAGCTTTTGCTCCTGGCTCCAAGTGTGCCCTCTCTAGCTGGCAGTTTTCCCCATGATGGTCCCGTTAACATCCCCCAAGATGCAGCCTGACATCCTCAGCTCCCAGGGACTCTGCTAGTGGGCTTCAGATACACAGCATCAGCACTCATTCCGACTGGTCAGACACAAAGGAAGGCAAACAAGATATGTTCAAACACTGTAAGCCCCATCCACTTTTTTTTTTTTTTTTTTTTTTTAGATTTTATTTATTTATTTGACAGAGAGATAGAGCCAGAGAGCACAAGCGGAGAGAATGGCAGCGGAAGAGGGAGAAGCAGGCTCTGCACCGAGCAGGGAGCCCGATGTGGGGCTCGATCCCAGGTCCCTGGGATCATGACCTGAGCCGAAGGCAGATGCTTAACCATCTGAGCCACGCAGGCACCCCCACTTCTTAATTATAGACCTGTCGTCTGCATTTTCCACTAATTATCTTTGTATCATGGTCTAAGAAAGGACTCATAGTATTAGTTTGAAGACATTTTCCTCCTTCTTTGGGAACTGACATCACGTGTGTAACTCACATAACAGGTGTGTAGTCTGACAGTGATTGAATGCCGGTAATTGACAGAAAGAAGACACTGATGATGAAAAAACAGATGGCTGGTCTCTCATTCATCAGAAAGCAATAGATGTCAGTGCCCATACAGGGCCCCTTCAAGCCAGCACTGTCACTGTGTGACTCACTGGGAGAAGGGACCCGCTGAGCTAGCCAGTACGACTCCAGGGCTAAGCCCAGGTCCAGGAGGGGAAACACAATCTCAGTACCAGCTCTGCTTTAACCAGCCAATGGCTGGTTCCCATTACTTACCCTTGCTGACTTGGCTAGCAGGCAAGCAAGCACAAGTTCTCCCAGTTGGAGAACTGGAAATCTGAACAAGGAATCCTAAGCATTTTGTTCTTGTTTGGTTGCTCATTTCACAGACATACTTTAGACCCAGAACTTTATACATGATGGACACTCAAATATTTGTGTAGAATATTTGTGAGAAGTTAACAGGTATTAGAGGTCTTTCCTCTAAATCAAGCAGTGTGCTTTTATTTTGTGTCTTTTATTTTGTGTCTTATTGGTGCTTTGGGCCCATTATCTATTGTTCTCACCGGCAAACACCAGCTCCATCCAAAGCAGGGAATAGACACAGAGAGATTACACAGAAGATTTCAAAACATTTTGAGAAGAGAGAGAGGATCAAATTCAATTTGAATGATGGCAAAACTTCTCAGAAATGCTGGGAGAGAAGAACAAAGCTACAAAGTGTATTATTATATTGCCTTCACCAGTTTTAAGAACTGGGGTCCATGTGGTAAGACCATTGTACACCAATGGTCAGGGTCCAGAGAAAGATGCGGGGAGGGAGAAGTGCTTGTAATCTTGCTGAGCCCAGGATCCAGGGATGTCCAGTAGAGTAATCTATGGGGAGGTGGCCTGAGACATCTTGAGAAAGGGGCCTAGCCCACCATGCATGGGGCCAGTATGTGGTAGCACCACTTCTAAATGGACTTCTTTGTTTCCAGGCAACGTCCTGCCCTTGGAGAATGTCTGGCCTCACTGGCAGCTGCCATCCCAGTGGCATTCCTGGAGCCCACCCTTAACCGCTACAATCCACTCTCAGTCTTCAACACCAAAACCCCCAGGGAGAGGTCTAGTAAGTATCTTCCCTCAGAGGTCATCAACCCGTGTGTTGAGAGGAGAGCAGCCAGGAAGGAAGGCCCCTCAGGCAGGGAACAGCAGCCTTGCAGCACTTTTGGTTTATATAGTCTGAGAGGGGCCAGGAGGTCAAAGCTAGGGTCCATGTTGTGTGTCTCCATTTTACTGGAAACATGGACATAGGCAAGTACTTTGTTATCACTGGACTTTGGCTTCCTCTTCTGTAGAATGAGACAGTGTGGTTGATTTCTAAATCCCTTCCCATCCTAAAGCCTTAGGCTCTCTTGTCTGCCCTGGCCTCAAGTCCCCTTCTGCACGTGGGGACATGACTTCTTTATTAGTTCCTCTGCAGAGTGCCATCAGAAGGTGCACACGTGCACTAGCAACCTAATTGTACTTTTCAAGGTCAGGGAGAGGCTGTGTTTCCAAAGATGATGACCACATGCTGTCTATCATTGTAAAAAATAAAGCATAGGAAAACACCAACCTCTTACACTGTTGGTGGGAATGCAAGCTGGTACAGCCACTCTGGAAAACAATATGGAGGTTCCTCAAGAAGTTAAAAATAGAGCTACCGTATGACCCAACAATTGCACTACTGGGTATTTACCCCAAAGACACAGATGTAGTAAAAAGAAGAGGCACCTGCACCCCAATGTTCATAGCTGCAATGTCCGCAATACCCAAACTGTGGAAGGAGCTGAGATGTCCTTCAACAGATAAATATAGATAAAGAAGGTTGTGGTCCATATATACAATGGAATATTACTCAGCGATCAGAAATGATGAATACCCACAATTTACATCGACGTGGGTAGAACTGGAGGGTATTATGCTAAGTGAAATAAGTCAGTCAGAGAAAGACATTTATCATATAGTTTCACTCATATGTGGAACATAAGAAATAGTGTAGAGGATCATAGGGGAAGGGAGGGAAAACTGAATGGGAAGAAATTAGAGGGAGACAAACCATGAGAGATTCTTGACTCTGGGAAACCAACTGAGGGTTGCGGAAAGGGAGGTGGGTGGGGGGATGGGATAACTGGGTGATGGGCATTAAGGAGGGCATGTGATGTGATGAGCACTGGGTGTTACACACAATTAATCATTGAACACTACATCAAAAATTAATGATGTACTATATGTTGGCTAATTGAATTTAAATTTTTAAAAAAAGAAAAACACCAGGAGGGATTGAAATTATGCAAGAAAGAGAAGTTAACAGGGGTGTTGACACACTAAGTTCTAGAACAGCAGTAGGTAAACTATGGCTATGGGCCTTATCTGGCTGCTGCCTATTTTTGTAAATAGTGTTTTATTGGAACATGGTCTCACCTACTCATTTACATGTTGTCTGTGGCTGCTTTAGCCCTACGTAGGGGAGGAAAAGTAATTTTCTCTCTACTCTTAATTGTTCTTGGCTGAGACCCCCCCCAAAAAACAGATTAACAGGAGAAAAAAAAATGTAATTATATACACATTAGTACCTATAGGAGCCCCACAAAGATATGAGACTCAGAATGCAGCCAGCAGATTGAGGCTTATAGACAAGAGTTCAGAGCTAAGGAAAGAGATAAGGGTCTGGGGATTCAAAAGGAAGAAGGCAATTGACAGGGGAGAAGTGGAAACATTTGGTAAACGTTTGCCCTGCCCTGCAGATGAGTCTCTCAGATGAAAAAGTGATCTCTGGTAAATAGCTCACTGCCTGGTACAGGCCCCCTTTCTAATGTAAATTTCCTTTATAAAATTTAGATTTCTCTTACACAGGGGTAACTTCTACTCTGTTTTCAGAGTTTCTCCCGTGTTTGTAGATTCTTAAAAATAATCAGCCCCAAATAATCCTTATGCCAAGAGGCATATTTTCAAGTGGCACATTCTGCTCCAGTTCAACCTCAGGGACAGAGTTGAGTCATGGTGGCAAAGATTTTCTGGGGCCTACAGTGTCTATTTACTATCTGGCCCTTTACAGAAAAAGTTTTCTAGAATACTCCAGAACTGGAATCCAAGACAGGTTATATATCTGCTCCCAGGGAGATGGAAGGGAGAGTCCTCCTATGTGGATGAATTGTGATCCTACTGGAAGTCAGTGGAATAGAACAGAGGAGCTTCAAGCAGGGAAACAAGGTTTGGACTCCCAACTAGAAAGAATTATAATGATTTAATGTAACATGAAACAAAAATTACCACACCATGGGCCTAGTCAATATTAAGAAAAAACTGTAATAAACCATTTCAAACCAGAACCTATCCTACTCAGAACCAATATTCTCTGAAAATATTGATAGTAAGAGTAGATGATTAGACTGTGTGGCAATTCCATTCGGTTCAAGCCTCCTTATCAAACGGTCTTGAGATCCTGAGAGAGAGAGTTCTAAGAGCTAGAACTTTCTATTCATGTCACACTCCTGTGTCATCCTCTTCTCTCCAGGTAAAAATGGAGAGTGCTAAGCCACAGTGGCTTTACTCCAACTTGCTTCTCGTTACTTCAGATAAAGAAGCACATCGCCCCCAGAAATGATGACCAGGACAATTTAGACAAAGCCACTTAATGAAGTTCTGGTCCCAAGCTCGAATAAATACAGTGGAGACTAGTGTTCTCAAAGTTAGGAGAGAGACATTGCCCAGATGCTTCAGCTTCCCAGAGTCTCCTGTGACTTCTCTAAGTTCATTTCCTACCCCTCCCAGCCTCACCTCACCCTTTCTCCCCTTTCTCGGACTAGCAAAAATCTTATCTCTAACCTTGTTTTTCTCCACCCATTCCTGAAACTGAATGAGTCACATCTTGTAGCTCACAGAGGAGCTAAGCAGCTGGGCGGGCTCTGGTTGAGAAAGGGCTGTTGACACCTGTAGGCATAGGCCAGCCGAAGTGTTGCTGAGCAGCTCCGAAGGGACACGGGCCCATCATGACAGCACTAGATATTCATCCGTTTGTTCTGCCCCAGCTGTGATTCAGGAGATCGTATGTCTCTTTTTGACCAATGTGTAGAAACGGACCTCTTCTGCTCTTGAGCTCATACACATACAGTAGCAGGCAAAATGAGGACTTGACAAAGATGGAGGAAGCCTTGGATGAGCTTTGGGAAGGAAGGGCATGACTCTGTCCCTTTGTTCTTCTCAAAGGCTATTGGAATTATGTTCCTTCTCACTTTATGTACTTTACTTTTATTTAACAAGACTTTTATTTAACAATCCATAAATGAAAAATAAATATCAATCACTGCAGACTCCACAGGGAAGAAAAGAGAAGAATGTGATTAGAGTCGACAGTTTTCGTCCATCAGTGACACACTGTGGGGTGTGCCCAAGTCCCCTGACCCCATGGTTTCCATCATTCAGTTAATCAACAGAGGAAATGCTGACCATGTGTGTGGCTCTTGAAAAGTAGAGTGTATGTGAATATGTGTTCTGGGATAATCGGGTTTGCCTGGAGCCAGAGGATGACTGATGGCTTAATGGACTCTAAGAAGGTAGACTTCATTTATTATACAAGTGAGTGGCCTGAGGGACTGAGATGGGGGAGGGATGTATAGGGTGACAAATGATGTGAGCCTTTGGTTTAGAAATATAATATGAGCTGACGTATCAAGGCTTCAGTCAACTGGACATCTTTATTAATTGACAGTTGGTGTTTTGCCAGCAGTTACTCATATTAGTAACTCTTCTATATGACCCTGGAGCATTTTCTGATTCATCCAGAAGTTATTAAGATATGCCTAGAAAAGGCTTAATACTGGTACCTTCCAGATACTCAAAATTAGATAAACCATAAACCTTTGGTTATGTGTGGCAGTGGTCTGTTAATCAGATTATTAAACAAGATACCCTAGTCGCCAGCCAGCTTATTTCCAGACCCTTATTGAATAGCCCTCCAGAGAGAGCAGGAGGTCCAGTTCCTGTGTCAGCTGTCTGCCTCCACAAAGGGTGGCACTCTCCTTCTCCAAGAAGAAGATGGCCTCTTCTTGGGGAGGGGCTGCTTGGTGAAGAAAATCTGACTTTAGAACCTTACCTGGTGGTTCTGAAACTCTAGCATACATCAGAATCATGTGGAAGGCTTATTAAGACAAAGATTGCTGAGTCCTACCCCTAGAGTTTATAACTCAGTAGAGCTGGATTCAGGTCCTAAAGAGTCTCCAGGTGATGCTGCCGCTGCTAGTGGGAGGACCCCACTTTGGGAACCCCTGATGTAGAAGATGAAAGGACAGTGTGTTCTAATGATAACCCCCCCCCCACAGTCTTGTGTTGGATTCTGATAGGACCCAGCTGAGGCTGTGTTTCAGGTACGTAACTCAGCAGCCTTCATTCTGTGAGTTTATTATGTGGCATTTGAGGTACAAAACACCATCTGAATCACAAATGTTTCTTTCACTCAAGGACCAATTACATATAAATAACTCTTAAAGGTCATCATAATGATTCCAGGGCAACACCCTGAAGCAACACTTTTCTTAGGTAGGGGAAAAGTGTCCCTGGTGATGTACTGTCTGTGTGTCATTTAAACACACACACACATACACACACACACACACACACACACACCCCTCTGAGCTGCCTCGTTGATAATTAGAGAGCAAACAATTGTGAACTTCAGTTACATCTGTGGCACTTGGCACTGTTCTGTGTGCTGAGTTTCAAGATGGAAGGCTTGCCTTCTTTGGTCTGTAGCTTCTTGTATGTGTAAAATGGTTTTGTTTGGGAGGCTCCTGCAGACCTCCATGTTGATGTCACCCCCGATGGTGGTTCTGCTGCGAGGGACAGGCCAGACCTTCTCGGCACATGCCCAGCATTGGCCGTAAACCATGTCTGGCCCGTAGAATTCTCTTCCCCTATAAATCACAGGAGTGTCACATTCTTTGGCTTTCATACTACTAATCCTTTTGAATCGTCTGGATTTTTTTTTTTTTTTTTAAGATTTATTTGTTTAGGGTGCCTGGATGGCTCTGTCGTTAAGCGTCTGCCTTCGGCTCAGGTCATGATCCCAGGGTCCTGGGATGGAGCCCCGCATCGGGCTCCCTGCTCAGCGGGAGGCCTGCTTCTCCCTCTCCCTCTCCCCCTGCTTGTGTTCCCTCTCTTGCTGTGTCTCTCTCTGTCAAATAAATAAAATCTTAAAAAAAAAAAAGATTTATTTGTTTATTTGAGAGAGCACGACCACAAGTGGGGGGTGGGGCAGAGGGAGAGAGAGAATCTTCAAGCAGACTCGCCGCTGAGCGCAGAGCCTGCCGTGGGGCTAGATCCCAGCACCCTGAGATCATGACCTGAGCCAAAATCGAGAGTCGGCCGCTTAACCGACTGAGCCACCCGGGCGCCCTTTGAATTGTCTGGATTTTAAAAGATGTTGAACCCCTCATGACTTCCAAGGAAGAGAGCTCTTCAGCCACAGTGACAGCAGCAGAACGTCATGGCTAGGCAAAGAGTGTTCGGGCCGCTTGGGGCCTGCCCTGTAGCAGGGAGGTTCCTGCGCGTCCTTTACTTTGTGACTGCACCTGGCATCCAGCACACCTGCTTCTTTCAGCCGCAGATTCATTGTCTCCAAGACAGGCTGCATTGCTCCGCATCTCTGCTCCAGGAAGTACAATCAAGGGAGAAATCAAAACCGTTCCTTTCAACTGACCAGTATTCCTAAAGGCCACAGAATTTGCTGTGACCTCTCTTATTCATTAACCCTTCAATGCCTAGGTACCTAAAATCTAGAGAAGGGATGCTTCCAGCCAGCAGTAACCCCAGTGGCAAAGGACCTGCCACTGTAACTCAGTTCACAAAAGATAACATTTTATTTGAAGTCTTCTGCTTTGTCCTTGGAAATGCATGAGAACTTTGCATTTTTCTCCAAATATCGAAAATAATTTCCTCAAGTCATCTAGTGGAACTGATGTTCCAGAAAAGTGTTCCACATTTGCCTGTGGCTTCTCGGACTCCCTAGCCTCCTGTGGTGCCTGCCGCTTTGGCCCCAGTGTGAGAAGTTTGGCCTGTGGGGGGGGGAGTCTGCATGTGATCCATATCCCGGGTCCTGGTGGACCCGACCCAGGCAGATGGGGGCAGGGGAGGTGGGGTTGGAGGAGACAGAGCTCTGGGCAGGTGCTTCTTTCAGAGCCCTTGTTATCTTCTTACCCATCAGGAACCTTGGGATGCTGCTGGTGTCTCCTCCTGTCTTGTCCTGTCCTTTCGCTTACGTAGAACAGGACAGGTAGCCCCTGACTGCTGTCTGCAATGCTTGCATCTGACAGCCTTCCTTGGTTTCATGTTGAACTCCATCTGTTGCTGCATCGTCCTGTCTGTCCGTGTTCAGTGAAGTGACTGCAGTCTTTAGTGGGAGGAAAAGATGGGGCTCACTCACTCTTCCTTGCATAGAAGCCTTCACAAACAAAAAGGTTGAAGTGCGTGACAGGAGGCCTTGGCATCAGTCACCTCATCAAGAACTTCTGTGGGAAATGGATAAATTAACACAAGTGCAATTTTTCCCCCCAAAATCTCAACCAGGTGAAAAGTAGTATCTCTGGTCTGGCTAAAGGAGTATTTGATGAGAGGGGTGTCTTTTCCTTTTCTAAACAGTATAGAGATCCAGGTGACTGAACTACAGGTTTTCAACTAAACACAGATGAGTTGCTTTTCTCCATCTAGTATCACCTTTTCTGCCAGGAAAGAGAAGCCAAGAGACTGGCTTCATCTCAGGGAAGTCTTAGGAAATGTTCCCCAGCTGTCTCTGGCACGCTCCTTTGGCCTTAAGTTGAAGTGTTTTAGCCTGAGTATGGCTTCCAGGAGGCTAACCCAGCCTCTGGAAGCTGTCATCTTTACACAAACAGCTGGAGGACAGAAGCTCCCCCACATCCAGTGCTCATTCATCTGAGGCTCGAGGGTGGTCACTTAATGTCTAAAGACCAACGGAAGGGTGGGACAGACAGAATGGATTGCATTATTTGTGCTTTTGAATTCCTGTCCTTGTGTTCTTCTGTACCCTTTTGGTCAGTTCTGGGCATGCCAGACACAGTGGAAGAGATGTGTCCTGACATCCCACAGCTGGAAGGCTTGATGAAGGAGATCAGCGACCTGGCCGAGTCGGGGGCCCGGTACACGGAGATGCCTCACGTCATCGAGGTGATCTTGCCCATGCTCTGCAACTACCTGTCCTACTGGTGGGAGCGGGGGCCTGAGCACCTGCCCCCCAGCACAGGGCCCTGGTGCACCAAGGTCACCTCTGAACACCTCAGTGTCATCCTGGGAAACATTCTGAAAATCATCAACAACAACCTGGGCATAGACGAGGCGTCCTGGATGAAGCGCATTGCAGGTACCACAAATGCCTCTTCTCCCCGCCCCCACCCCCTACCCCAGGGCCAGGATGCCTGCATTCTCTCTTTGTCTCTCAGTCCATCTCTAAACTAGTCGCCCTCCCCCTCCTAGTTAGTTCCCAGTAAATATTCCCCTGGAGAGCGTCTTGGAGCAAATGCTCCTGCCTACTCCCCAGCTAAATCAGGTCCCTTCGATCTCCGGGAAGCCCTCCTCCATACTCTCTGCCTGACTCGGATGTTCATTGCTTTATTTGCTTTTGGTACTTAAGCATCCCATTTGCTCTTACAGTAATAACTGTCCATGGTTTCCCTGTAAGTCCTCCTGTGTGTTCCGTACACGTATAAAACTCACACCCATCTGGGCTGTACTGGAAGTTGCTAGTGTTCGTATTTCATGTTATGCTTTCTAAGACACTCCCTAAGTTAGGTTCATAATAACATCACTTTGGGTTTTTTGGTTTTTTATTTCTTCATTCCTCTAGAACTCTTTGCATGCAGTAGGCTCTTAATGAGTTTTGTTACCTGATTTTCTATTCCTGAAGCAACATCAAAAAAGGGAAAGACTTGGAAAATGAACAACCATACTTCCCACAGTCAGGAAATCATGAATATTTAGTGTCTTCTGTGTCAAAGCAGAGTCTGTGGAGACAGAGCCAAGGCAAAGTCATTGCTTCTGACGGACCTACAGTGTAGACAGCTCCGTGGTAGGCGTTTCCCCCAGGCCACCCACTGGACCAGGAAACACAGTGGCTGGGCCAAAGGGAGCTATTAGCCCAACCTTAGATATTTATCTTCCTGGACAAATGAGGAGGTATTCCTCTGCAAGACCAGGGAAGAAAAGTTTTCTTCCCCCTTCCTGTCTCTGAAATGAACTGAGATCAGAGTTATAAATATTCTGGGTGCTCATAGCTACTAGATAGTACAGGCCCCTGTGAACATGTGAGTAAATAAAGTTGATGTTCCCTTCTTACCTGTTAGCCCAAGAATATTGTCAACCCCAAGACAATTTGTTGAGAAGCTCTACTTTATAATTCATGAGGGATTCAAGGAAGGGAGGAGGTGGAAGGATGGGCTCCCTCAGCTCCCTAGAGGGGCAGGGAAGAGAGATGGCCTAGCATGAGGGGCACAGGTGGCAAGCGAACTCGCCCTCTTATTCCACAGGAGCGTCCAGACCAGGGGGGCCACCTAATTGCTGGTGCCGAAACAAAGTCGATTTTAAGTTGTAACCCCAGCTCACCCACATCTGGAATAGCCATTCTGATTCTGGGGCCGGAGCAGAAGCGCACCTCAGGGCAGGGCGGGTAGGAACCCTGAGCTCTCCTAGCTGAGTTTTGGCTTCTTGCTTAGTGCATCTCAGCAGGAAGCTGCCTTCACCTCCTCCTCCTACAACGGCCATTGCTGTGAAAGTAAAAAAGAAGGCAGTGAGACTTAAAAGAAACAGTGCCAGATGTAGGCTATTTCCAACTGAAATGCACCCCAGCTAAAGAAACTTTGAAATACACAAAACACACAGTGCACATTGGCAGTGATTCATGACTCTTATTAATTTTATTTCGCTTAACTTTTTATAATTACTCTGATTCTGATCTTTATTATCGAGTGGACCAAGAGGATATTCCATTTAAGAAATAGGGTAAGACATGTAGGTTTTCTCTTTCTCTTTAAGAGGGCCAGAATCCCAGGCCTAAGCTCCACTGTTGCTGTTTCTGCTCTTTGACTTCTGGTGGCCACCCCAGCCTCTCTCGGGTCGTTATAGCTGATGATAGTTTCTCTGTCCTCCTCAGGGCCCAGGGGGGCCCCCAGGCAGTGAGTTGGCAGTTCTCAAGCACTGGGGACTGAGAACTGTGGTTGGGGTAATGTATTTTTAACAACAGATTTTTCTATAAAATAACCAGAAACCATAGTACTTAGTGCCTACTCTTGGCTCAGCATAGTGCTGGTTATTAGTGGGGGGAAAAGGCTCCATTCAAGGAATTTATAATCTAGCTAGTGAGCCCAAACCGGATGAACATGAACATCCTAAAACTATGTGATGAGGAGCTAAGAGGTATGGCCAGTCCCAGGCATGCATGAAGAGTTCACGGGTAATGGCTCCCTGTGGCCTGGACAAGCAGAAGAGGAGTAGGGACCTTCTCCTCTGGCTCCCTGCCCCCACTGTGGCTTTGTGAGAGGGAACTAAGTGCCTCGTGGACAATTAAGGAAGGGAACAGGGCAGGGGCTGTCCTGAGTCCATGGAATGTCACAGCCTCACCTTTCAGTATCACTTCTTTCCTTTCATCAGTTGTCCTAACGTGTGAAATGAGGGGGAGGTTTTTTGTTTGCAAATGCAGTGTACGCCCAGCCAATCATCAGCAAAGCCCAGCAGGACCTGCTGAAAAGCCACTTCATCCCAACTCTGGAGAAGCTGAAGAAAAAGGCGGTCAAGACGGTGCAGGAGGAGGAGCATCTGAAAGCCGACACCAAAGGAGACACTCAGGAGGCAGAGCTCCTCATCCTGGATGAGTTTGCAGTCCTCTGCAGAGACCTCTATGCCTTCTACCCCATGCTGATCCGCTACGTGGACAACAACAGGTACGCGGGAGAGCTGGGCTAGGCTAGCCTGTCTCCAAGATGGAAAGATGGTGTTGGGTTGTAGTACAGGCAAGGGAGGGAAGGAGGGAGGGCACAGCTGCCGCCATCAGCCACCCCGCCCCTCCGAAAAAAGTCCCTGGTGTAGGACCTCTGGACAGTGCGTTCCTTGGCCGGTGTTTCTGTATGGTCAGTGACGTGACCATCCCTTCCATCCTCACTCCTCACATGCTACCATAGGTCAGAGGGAGTTGGTCAGACAGGGGCAGCGGTGACCCACTTCTTCCCCACTCAGCAGAGTTCTGTCACATATTCATTCAACACAGACCGCTGTATGTCAGGCACTGTTCTAGGCATGGAGTGGGGGGCAGGTGTGAACACAACAAAGATGTCCGGCCGCCTAAGGGCTTTTTTTGTGGCAGGAAGGTAGGGCACACAGACAATAAACACAATAAGAACTTGAATACTTACTGATATACTTTCCTTGCATAAGTAAATTATGCAAAGCAGGGTAAGGAGAATTAGGAGTGCCAGGGTGGGGTGGAGTCACAGTGTTAAATGGAACATTAACTGAGAAACAGTATTTGAGCAAAGACCTGAAAGAGATGAGGTGGGGAACCATGCGAGTCTGGGAAGGGTTATATTCCCAGGAAGAGGGGACATGTGGGGTCAGCCCTGAGGAAGGAGTATGTTGGGGTGTTCATGGGATCATAAGGAGGCCGGTGTGGCTGGAGGAGAGTGAGGAGTAGGGAGAGTGGTAGGAGATGTCAGAAAAGCAACATGGGACCAAGAGTGGAGGGCCTCAGAGGCCACTGGGAAGACTCTGTCTTTTATTCTGAGTGAGATGAGAAGTTGGCGGAGGCTTTGAGCTACTCTGTGATGTGATCTGATTCACTTTTTTTGTTAAGATTTTATTTATTTATTTGAGAGAGACAGAGAACACGAGCCGAGGGAGAGGGAGAAGCACACTCCTCACTGAGCAGGGACCTGGACCCCCGGGCTCAATCCCAGGGCCCTGGGATCATGATCTGAGCCACCTGGGGGCCCCGATCTGATTCACATTTTGAGCACTGTGGCGAGGCATGGAGGCAAATAAGGGGGTGAGGAGACCATTTGGGAGGTTCACAGTGATCCAGTCAAGAGCTGATGGGGATCCTTAGAGACAGAGCCAGCTGGTGATTCCCAGGGCCCGGGGGGGGTGGGTGTTGGGGGGTGACTAGGAAGCAACTGTTTAATGGGATGGGGGGTTCCTTTTGGAGTGCTGAAAATGGTTCAGAAACTGGACAGTGACAGTGGCTGCCCAACCTTGTGAATGTACTAAATGTCACTAATGGCAAATTTTATATGTATTTTGCCACAATTAAAAAAAAAAAAAGTTTGATGGCAGAGGCCAGGGTGGTAGCAATGAAGATTGGCAGAAGATGTCAGATTCTGGGTCTGTTTTGAAGGTAGAGTCCTTAGGACTTCCAGATTGGGAATGAGTGAAGAAAGGAGGGTCATAGATGATTCTGAGCAAATGGAAGGATGGAGTTTCCAGCAATTGAGTCAGGGAAGGTTGTGGGTACAGACATTTTTTAGGGGAAGTTCTGGAAATCACTTTTGCACATGTTAAACTTGGGTTGCCTATTCAATATAAAAATGGAAGTGTTGAGTGGGCCATTGAATATATGAGTCCAGAGTTCAGGAGAGGCTTCTGGTATAGACATGGGAATTTGGGAGTCAGTAACATACTGAGACTGGATGAGGGAAGGGACTGAGGGGAAGAGAGAGGAGTTCCAATGACCAAGCCCTTGTGCCCTCCAACATCAAGAGATCAGGCAGAAGAGGAGGAACCTGTGGATGAGGCTGAGAAGGAACAAGCAGTGAGATGGGAGGAAACTGACAGAATGTCGTGTCCTGGGTGCCAACCTCACAAAGCGTTGCCAGGAGGAAAGAATGATGAGTAAAAGTTATTGGTAATCTTGACAAGAGCAGTTTCAATGGAGCAATGAGACAGAAGCCTCTGCAGTGAGCAGGAAGAGAATGGGAGAAAAGGACTTGGAGACAGCAATACAGACCACTTGTGCAAGGAATTTTACCACAAAGGGGAGCAGAGAAATAGGATGCTGGCTAGAGGCAGAAGTAAGCTCAAGAGAAGAGTTTTTAGGATGGGAGGCTTGTCAGCTCGCTAATGGGAATGATCTAGTTAGAGAAGGGGAAATTTATCATGTAAGAGCGAGAGAGATCATTTCTAAAGCAATGTTCTCTGAGCAGGCAAAGGGTCAGCATTAGATAGTTTATCCACAGAAACAATCAGGAGGGCAGGGAGTATGGGTGCTGATGCTGGTACACACACACACACAATGTCTGGGGGTCTATAGGGGTCATTTTCTCAGTGATGTAGGAGACAAGGTAATCAGCTGAGAATGAGGATGGGGAGAAGGTGCTTGGAGGTTCGAGGAGTAAAGAGAAGGTGTAAGGTGGCAGCCAGGGAGAGGGGGAGAGCGGCTGGGCCAGGACAGTGTCGTGTGATTACTGGGCAGCAGTAAGGACCACACTTGAGATCTGTGGTCATGAATTGATGGTGAAACCCATCACCAGGTTGTCTTTTTCTCTAGCCAGTTCACCACCGGGTCCAGGCCCAAAATAGGGAAAGAGTTGGATTTAACCAAAGTTGGGGTTTTTGCAAAGTGAGTATGACAAAGAAAAATAGGTGAGGGAATTGAGGGTGTGTGTCAGAGGGTAATTGTAATTGTAAAGAATTTAAGCTGGATGCTGAGGAATGTCTATGAGCAGGCAGAAGACTAGGATAGTTGGTCCTAGTGGGGAGCAAGGACCAAATAGGTATTTTTATTATATACCACACCCTCTTAAAATTTAAAGGCCTAATATATAAATTTGAAAAGTTTTAGTTTTAAAATAGTAGATCTTGAAAGGACTTAGGAATATTTGGGGGAGCATTGCTAACTTTTGAGTAGTATGCCATTCTGTCATGGGCCGGAAATAGGTCTGGAGAAGCCCATTTTAGCATTTATTTTATAAGGCAAATTGCGTTTCCTATTTAAAACAATTGATTACTTATGTTATTTAGCATTTGAAAATAAATACCTTGCACATACTATATAATATAATCCCTTACCTGTCTATGGGAGACTTTACTCTCTCAAAAGAACCCCTGCTTTAAGGATCATGGTTTGCGTCATTTCCAATAACATCATTATATTAGCGGTTAGAGAGGGGATTTGTCAGAGTTAGAGGTAAAAACAAAAATGAAAGGAGAGTAAGGTTGCTCCTAGAATAGCTCTTTAATTGCATTTATCACTATTGACAATCAAGACTCAAGATGGAGTGTGTTCTACTTACACAGTGTTTGACAGTTGCTAAAAATGGCAATGTCAGAGAGTCTTTGAGATCATCATTAATTCATTCATCCCCACTTTTCAACCCGCTCTTCCCTGAACACCAGAGAACATTATGGCCACCCGAGCCCAACTTAGAAAGACTTCCTTCTTCTGTGTCTGCCTTTACCTTCTTTGGGTACTTTCTTCACCAAAAGAATCGCTGGCTTGGAAGTATGGTACCCTGGAGTTGGCAGGAAAAATAGGGGTCACCTTATCTTACCTATAACTGGATGAGTAAATACCCCCCTTCCTTTTTCCTGGCAGTGCATTTCCTACCTCTGGTTATCCACCATGCTTCTGGACAACAGGTAGGGACTTGCCAGGAGTGCCCTCCCATTCTAGTTTCAGACAGCTCAAATGGTTCTGAGCTCAGCTCTGTGACTCCTGCCCATCAGCTCTGACTTTGCTCTTCAGAGCCTCACAAAACTGTTCTAGTCTGTCTTGTGGCAGCTCTTTAAATATTGAAGAGAGCCATCTTGTCCTGTCCTCCTCCCTGTTCTTCCTCGTCATAGTAAACCTTTGTACTTCCTTCAGTCATGGCACTGTTTAAAGTTCCTTAGCCCTCTGGACCACTGTTCTGAACAGAAGCTTCCGTCAGTCAGTGTTCAGCCCAAAGCTGACCCAGAATGAGCACGAAAGCTGGGTCTGTAGTGTGGTCAGAGCTGGGCAAATCCGCTCTCTATCTCCTCATGCAGGAGCTGTCAGTGCAGTTAAACAGCTCTCTCTGCATGAGGCAACGGCTTCTCAGCCTCCTTTCTGGCAATCAGGAACACTCAGAACACAGAAATGAATGACTTTAAACAGTGGGATTTGGGGTGAAAACCCATCTCTCAGGCTCTAAAGGGAATCTGAGTAAATCCTCAGCAGTGACGGCCCTGGGCTGTGTCTTCTGCAGGAGGCTTAGGAACAAGGTTGAGATAAGCTCTTAGCTCTAACTCAGACAACCTAGCCATGAATGTAATAGGAATACGGCTTTTATTTCTTTCAAAGCCTCATACCTGGCTTTCCTTTCTTTGAAAACCTGATAACTTGTCATTTTGAAAATGAAATCTCTCTTTACTCTTGCGATCATCCAAGATTTTATTCTTACGTTTCTTGTTTCCTGTTAATATGCTCAGTGATTTCATTCACTTGCGTTGCTTCAACCATCACCCCCTGCCGATCATTACCTCTAAGCCCAACTTTCTTCTCCACCTACAGCCTTGCATTTTCCAACTGCCTTTTGGCAGCACGCAGTGCAGATGATAAAAGAGACCCAGGTATCAGTCTAGTACCTCCAAAAGGATCGAGTCGTCAGATATTGAGAGAGATCTGGATTCTGGGAGACTGGGAGCAGGCAGGAGATGAGCCTGGTTGCATCATGGGGGCAGACAGGAAAGGATATGGGCCAATAGGAGAGATGAGGTCAGGGTCTTCTATTCACCTGCAAATACCAGAGAGGTGCAGAGTTTGTGTCCTGGGGAAACATGTAATGAGATATTCTTCATTTACACCTACCACTCTGAACGTGAAGAAAGAACCTCACTAGAAATCAAGGGTGAAAATATGCCTCCTAGAAGAAGAAGGGTATGGAAAACAAAATTCATTCATTGGAAACTACCTTCCTATGGAAGATAGCAAAGGGGTCAGAATCTTCTGCGGTATTCTGTGAGGGAATGTTGACCTCACCTGTTGTTTTCAGAGCTCCTGCAGATCCCACACCCTGTGGCTGTACTTTGCCTTGGCTGGAGAGGATAGGAAACCTCACCTCTTCCCACTCAGGGCACAGTGCAAACTTACAAAGCTCATTTAAACCAAAACACTAAGGAATGAACAGCTGACATTTCTGACAAAACTTGACACCTGATCCTGAAAAATCAGTATGAATGAAATCAAAAAGCATTACCAATCTCAAGCCTCAAGTTTGGCTTGCATTTGGCTGCTAATAATGGATACCTGATTATAGTGGCTTAGAGAAATTGGAAGTTAAATCTCACAAAGAAGTCCAAAGATACCCAATCCAGGGCCAGTACGATTGCTCCTCATTAGAGAGCCTCATTCCTCTGTTTTTCCCTCCTAAACACTGGCTGCCATCTTTGAAGTGACTTTATGGTGCAGTGTGCCAATTGTCATTGGAGCCCTCGTATTTTCATTCCAATCAGGAAGCATGAAAGCAACAGGGGGAAGGCAAAGGGCATCTTCAGCTATCTGATCCCTTTTTAGAGAGCTTTTCCAGAAGGTCCACCCAACAACTTCCCCTTCCATCTCATTGATCAGAACTTAGTTACATAGCTATCCCGAGGCTGGGTAATGTGGTCTTCAGTAGGCACAGTGCCACCCTGAATAAAATGAGCTTTTGTTCCTAAGGAAGAAGAAGAAAATGAGTATGGGGTAGACAACCTAGTGTCTGCCATGCAAAGGGAGGCTAGTTGAGGTAGAACTCAAGAAAGGTTAGATAAGGATGTCTGTGAGGCTGGAACTCAGGGCAATAAGGAATGGAGATGCAAGAGAGGTCCAAAGATGGTCTTGGCCTCATGAGTCTTCCCCTTTCCTCATTAGGCTGGTGCTCTCCATCAATGGACAGAAGGTACAGGCTGCTCAGGGCAATTCAGTCTGGTGTCCCAAGGCTTAGGGAACTGGCTTTTTATAGCTGTTTCCCTGCATGCACCAAGGGACAATGGGTTTTTCAGACCATTCATGAGAACCAAAGTTTTCTTTAACCTAAGAATGATGGTAGATGATTTAACTTCTACTATGTTATTCTACACAGATATTTGAAAATGGCAATTCACCCAGCCCTTTCAAAACATAATTTGATTCAAATATGTAAGATACTTAGGGGCAAGACAACTTTTAGGAAATGAATTAATTCTACCGCAATTTAGCCTTCTTGCTGCCACTGTGAAATTCTTAACTTGGTCTGGTTTTTAATTAAAAAAGAAAGAAAGAAATGAGTAATGTTATTTATAGGGAACTTCTAAACCATTTCAGAGGGCATAAGAAATGTTTGATCTCTGCCCATACACTTTAAAACAGTGAAAAATACATTGTCTTCCAAATTTCGTTCATTAAACTGGCTTTGAGAGGAAAAGGTGTTAGGCCTGAACTGTTTTTAGAGCACTCCATATTTCAGAGGCTTGACAATGACAAGTGTCAATGAAAGATTAGATGTCATACTGACCGAGACTTTTCTAGTCTTGGTAGCCTCATAGATTAAAGGAGGCCTGTTCCAAAACAGAGTGTAACCTTAATCACTTCATCTGTTTAAAAAAGAAAAAAAAAAAAAAAACCTTTGACAAATTTGAAATGTTGTTTTCCGACATCTGTTTGCAAAGATAATCCTTGAATCCTTTGGTAAAATGGAGACGATTATTGTAAGTCCTTCAAAAATATCTACAATTACATGCCTACACACATGTAAGGAGTGCACTGATATTTAGTCTCTCTGAAGACTGCCTTCATGTGGGAATATAGTTTTATCTGGATAAGTGTGCAAAGCCGATGTGGGTATAATTTTTAATGTAACTGTTTTCATCATTACTGAATTTCATACGCATATTCATTTGCTTTTCACCTCAGATCTAACTGGCTTAAAAGTCCCAATGCTGACTCTGACCAGCTGTTCCGCATGGTGGCAGAGGTCTTCATCCTGTGGTGTAAATCTCACGTAAGGAACATGTGGGCCCTGGGTTTAGAGATGGCTGTGAAAGGTACAGACCTCCAAAAACATTCTTATAATGTTGGCTTTTTTATTTCCCCCCACTTAGAACTTCAAGAGGGAAGAGCAAAATTTTGTGATTCAGAATGAAATTAATAATTTGGCATTTTTAACTGGAGACAGCAAAAGCAAGATGTCGAAAGTAAGTCCATTGAAATCAACTCCAAAGACTCTTCGATCTTGACCTAAGTTATGTATCTTGGATGTATGAAGGGATTAGCTCCATACTGAATTTAGGTCAAACCACAAAAACCAGCAGTCTCTACTGTTGTTTCTTTGAGAATGAGCCAGAAGAAACTGCTCTCAAATAAGCATGGTCATCACATTTTCTGAATAAATAGCTGCTTGTATGTCAAAAAGTTTAAGTTTCAAGACTTGCCTAAGGCATTCAAGAGGTCTCCCAAACCAAAGCTGCTGTTAGTTGTTTTTAAATAGAACTACTTCCGATGTAATGAGCTGCAAAACTACACACGCCTAGAGCCACCTTTCGATTAGCTATGAGGAAATTACCTTGCTTTGAAGACTTCATTAGCACATGTTCTTCCAGTAAGCTTCTTTTCCTCCTTTCTGGAACATCCAGTAGCTGTTTTATTTCAGTTGTGCAGACCTCTTAATGCCTTCTGTTTATTTTCCATGTGGGTTGCATTCAGAAACCCAAAGTTTGTCCATTCCCTGCAGGAAATATTTAAAAGAGGACATACGGGATATCTGTCTGAGAAAAAGAGCAACTTACAGGGAGGAACGTAGCAGGAATACAGCAAGGGGACCTGGCCTCCCAGCTCCTCTTGAGTCAGCTCTGCACAGGGAGGCTTTGCTATTTGGATTGTAAAGAATTCTCAGACCCACTCTTCAGGTGCACATACATACATACAAGACTTAGTTAAATGTGATGTTTTGTTACCAGTTGTTATGGCTTACTCTTGACCCTGTTCCCTTGAGAAGTGTGCCTCAGTGAGGGTTGACTGTATATGTCAAGTATAAGTGACATGTAATACCTGAGATGTGCATCTCTCTCATTGCTGGTATAGTGCTGCCTTTGAGGAACATGAAGGTGGAGTGTGCATGGGGACCCCTCAGAAGTGAGAATCAGTACTGGAAAGATGGCAGTCAATGGTTTGTAGCAAAGCCTTTGGAGCATCTTTCCAAATAACCATTTGGGATGAAGACTTGTGTATGTGAAGCTGCAGACAAAGGGCTGGTATAACAACTAAAAATGAAAACTTCAGCACCCAAAACTTCACCACGTGTGCCTAGCTCTAGTCAGCTGCCATCACTCTGAACTTCCCACCCCTTCTGTCTTTTAGCTGTGTTGACACTAACACTTCTTCCAGCATCCAAAAATTGACTCTTAGAGTTTAGAATCCGCTATTCAGTGCTTAATAAAGTTTGACATGTAAAATTGTACATATACAAAGTAGAGAGATCAGAAGTATATATTCATATTCAAAGGAGTCTTTGCTGCAAAGGAACTTCCCTTAAGGTGGACCCTTTTTGCTTTAGATAATTTTTATTTGATTTTCCAAAATTCATTTTGCATTCAACTTCTGGCAAACACATCTGCTGCTCATGTGAGATACACAAAGATAGGATCTTTCAGACTCCTGATCCTTGGACATTTATCTTAAATTCCCTCTGAAGGGTCTTCTTACAGCCATCATTGGCTCTCCTTTTGCTCCATCCACCTACAGAAAGTCAGTAAATCCCAGATAGATTTTATGCTACCTTCACCTTGGGGTAGAGCTGCTGGCTCTGGACTGAACCAGCTAGCATCCATTGTTACTGTCAGCGGATGGCAGCAAAGCAATGGAAATGACACTGGTGTAAGGATTTGGATCCCAGATGAGCAGAAATGGCAAAGACATCTCAGTGCACCGGTGATCAGTGGTTACTTAGGACCCTTAGGTTTACACTTGGAAAGAGATGAGGTGACAGGGGATGACATTTCAAAACTAACCTACTAACAAACTAACTGGAAATTCTGTTCATTCACATTGCTGAATGAGGAAAAGGGTATCTTTGTCTTGTCAGAGGAAGGTCATATTCAGAATCTGTGCATCTTTCCTATTGCTAAGGTTCGTCTATAGGAGCAAACACTTTCATTTTATTCCCATTGACCTTGTATGTCAGTTTTTTCCTGAGCTACATGAAAAAGGGTCAACGTTACAGTATAGTGAATGTGAGGACGGGCCCCAGATATTAAATAACATTTACCATGCTTCTCAGGGTAACAGATATTCCTATTGATCCTGTTGCCTCAGTTGAGACACAAAGTGTAGTAGTAAGTAGGACTAGAGACTGAAAGGAAGCTAAGTCCCACCCGTGGGCCCAGCCATTGACTAAATGTATGGCCTTGCATCATTTAACTCCTCCGGGCCCCAATTTACCAATCTGTAGAATGGGCTTGAGCTTACTACCTGACTCCTCCCAGTTCTACCAGGATGCTGTTTAAAAGTCAGTTTTAAACTGCATCTCTAGACTAGAGATAAATGCAGCACATTCTTTCAGATGGAGGCCCCTTTACCCTGACTCCAGGAAACAGCAACTCATAGCCATTTCTGGTATTCTTTGGAGGTAGAACTACATATGAGAGAATGGGGAGGAGGTAGTCTTACTCTCAGTTTAATCCCCATCACCTTTTCCTCCCTGAAATTAGATGCTCTCTCTACTCCCTAATCTGAATGGTCAGCTGTGCTTGCCTTTATCTCCACTCTGAGCTGAATTCTGGTGTTGTATAAATGAAGTTGGCCTCAATGCATATGGCAGTTGTTGCAAAGGCCTGTGTACTGGAATGCTGCATGCCTACACACTGCACACGCCATTGCAGATGGAAAGGAGGCAGAAACAAAATATACAATGGGCCACACTATTTATACTTGATTAACTGAAGATCGGTGCAAAGATGCATAATTTTTCTGGCAATGAAGACAGGTGTGTTTTTGTTTGTTTGTTTTTGTTTTTGTTTTGAGAGCTCATTGTATATTTTCTTTATATAACACCAGTTTGCAAATATATGTTAAGCTAAATGTAACTAAGCTGAGCAAGTGTTTTTGTTTTGTTTTTAAACTTGTTTTGTTTTCTGGAAAAATGGCAGCAGCTTCCTCGGAGGGGAATGGTAAGTTAGAACGTGTTTAGCCCAAGAAATGCCAGTCTCTTGACCAAGATGATGAGTAAAAACAGAGTTGTAAGGCAGGAAGTATTAGAGTGCCTCGTTGTTGAAAGCCTCTCCATCCCATGAGTGTGATTTCAGTGTATTGAAAAAGGACAGGGAAGAGTTTAGAGGCTATCTTTGAGATTTTCCAGGGTATTCAGACTTACATGTGGGAGTTTGCTTCTTACACCTATCTCTATTGCTTGCTCTCCTCTCTCTCATCCCCTCCACCACCCACCTCTTTCACTTTGTATTCCTGTAGCAATGGGGCAGCTCCCATGCTCTCCCCTCCCCTCCTCTCTACCTTTCCCCCTGTCTCTCTCCGTGTCTCTCTCTCCCTCTTGGCCACCTCTTCTCTCCCTCTTACTCTTCTCTACTCTTGCTTCCCCCATCCTTCCCTTCTTTGTTTTCTCTCTCTCTCTGTTGCTTTCTCATTCTCAGACTGGCTTCTGGAAATTCATCTTTCCCCCTAATATCTAATGTTGGGTTGACTTGTCTTTACTTCACTTACCCTGTTAGTAGGGGTAAGTACTCCATGTGGTGCAGGCTTGCCTGTTTTTAGAAGCCTCTCCCTGTGCTGTCTCAGTGCAACACACCACCCATTTGTGTCCTTCTCAAATTTCCTTTCCCTTAAGGGTCTATGTTTTATTCTTACATTCACACATAAAATCATCTGTTTGATCATAAACTACTGGTGATATGTGTAGGGGAGGTCTAGGAATTCATAAATTTCTCTTTGGAAAATAAAAAATTTCAGGGGAGAAGAAAAGCACTTCCAGCATAACTAGCATTAGGGAAATACACTGAGTTAACCAATCTTAGCAGTATGTGAAGAAAAAAATATATAGAACCTCTATCGTGAAAGAGGCTGTGACCAAAGATATATTTGAAGGTCACAGCACAGGAAGGGAGATGCTCCATCCTTTGGGCTGTGGGGCAATCCTGAATTACCCTGGATATTTCTAGAGCACTTCTTTTTAGCAAACGTCTTTTTTGTGGAAGCACACACATTGCCCCTTAGCTCAGTTCTTCCTTCTCTTCTCACAACCACAGATCTGCTGGAGGTGATAATGTGGTGGGCGGAAGGAAGAAAGAAAATTGGGGTCTTTGGTTACATGACAGATTATCTACAGCCCACCCAGGTGAAAGGTGGGAGGTTGGAGGGGAAAGGCTCTAGATCTGAAGGGTTTGTGTGCGTGGCCAGACCCAAAGCCCACCTGGGTCTGAGCAGCACACGCTGGGGAGGCTAGTCTTCAAGACGACCTTGCCTTGGGGGTGGATTGCTTGGTTTGGGTGTAAGTCCTTTTGACCAAATTAACTTCCATCATAACCTCCCACTCACTCTTCATGCCATGCTCAACTGGCTTCCAGAACTGTTGAGTTTCTGTTGTGTTGGCTGAGAAATGGGGGCTAAGAAGCTATGACTAACATGTGCTACCTTATGCCTTGGACCCCTGCTTTTACTGACTGACTCTTCTCCTTGTTTCTTTTCTTTTGTCTTCCCACACAGGCCATGCAAGTAAAGGTACAGGTCAAATGCATGATGTGTCTTTTCTGTCCTAGTATTAGAGATGCCAGGCTCTGGCCACCCACTGCACTGTGATCACCATGGGGGTGGTACAGAATGGATCTTCCCACCTGGAGGTCCCCCAGGCCTGCTCCAGGGAAGACACCTGCCCATCAAAGAGTGAATGTAGGCCTACCCACCCTTGGAATGGGGAAGCCGGGGAAGCCAGCCAAGCCTCGCCCTAACCGAGGTCTCCTTGCTATCTCTGCTCCCTTCCCCAGCCACCCACTCTGCAGCCAGGACACTGACAGAGATAGGGGCGCCGACAGGGCATGAGAGCCCAAAAGGCTCACTCCTCTGCTGTGCCATGCAGGCTCAGAATCCTATGTGCCGTCAGTGGCCCCAGTCCTTTCACACCGTACATCTCTGCCTCTTGTGCAAGTCTCCCACAGTTCAAAGAGTTTTCCAAGGACTAACCTTCAGGATTTGAAATCAGATAACCACGTGTTTTTGCACAAAATGTGCGTATGGTGAAATACACCCTGGGTTTATTTCCAGTAACCCATATAGAATATAACATGGAAATATTTCTCTCTATTCATTAATGTGCATCTGCTGCCATTATCACAAACTCCCTGCCCTAAGATATGTGCCAGAGAAAGGGAGATGGTCAGGAACCAGGTCACTTGCAGCTTGGAGTTAGAAAAGGGAAATGAAACCATGTCCAGGTAGGCTTGGGTCTGGATGTTGACTCAGATGTTTACCTGCTGTGTGAACTTGGAAAAATCACTTACCTTCCCTGAGCATCATGTTCTCACTTCTATAACTGTGTTGTTTGTGTATCAGGGTTATTGGGAGGATTAGAAATGTTTTATTTAAGTAGGAGGCACATTGGAGTCACATTATATATGCAGCATTTGTAATAAGAGCAACTTGAGATTGGCCCAATAAAATAGAATGAGCAAGAAATTATTTGAAGTGCATCAAATCTACATAGTTACATTTTGCATATTTACTTGATTATATTCGGCGGTATGTTACTATTCACCTTTTACATTTCTATGTACAGAACACCTCATAGTTTATGTACACAAAATCGAGTTCTGTCCTTTATGGATGATTTTCAGGGGTAATGGAGACTGTAACTGAGTTTTGCCTTAGGCACAACCTTTAGAATTCTATGCCTGATGGTAGAACACGTAAAGAACCTAGCAAGCGCTCAGTGAATGAGAGAGCTCTTCGAGGTGTTTGTGTGAACCAGCTTTCACTTTCCGCTGCATTCTAGAACACAAGAAGCTGCCTTCTGTTAGCTTCATTTCTTACCCCCTGCTCATATTTCTCCCCGGCCCCTCCGCCTGCTGTCCTGGGCCTGACCTGCTGTTTCGGAGCACCGGGCACAAGGTGCCCTGCAACCAGCACAACTGTCTGGCGGCGACTGGCCAGCCTGGGTTTTGCTGGCAAGGAGCTTCACTGTGGTTGCTGTGATGTAACCTCCTGAAGGTACAGAAATCACAGCCATTTCAAGAGTGTCCATTAATAATTACGAACCTCTCTCACACTTTAAAGGTAACTTAAAGAGATCAGTCCCAAGGCAGTGTGGATTCTTACCCTCCTCTTCTCTCAGAAAACCAGCGCCTCCTTAAGATGAATGCTGCTCCAGCTCAGGGTCCCAGGTCTTACGGGCTCGTTCCAGGAGAGGCGTCTGGCCTCCCCCCTGCTCCCAGGGCCCTCGG